TAGAAAGGGGAACACGGCGGTCTGTGATTGCGTGACCAGCCCACAGAGTGATTTCATTGGCCACATTAAAGCCAATCAGAGGCTTTGAAAAGTTAATCCCGCCCATCACCTCATGCTGTACATCTACCATCCCCCACCCGTTTCTGTTCCTTTGTCTGATTTCCCCGCATTTTTCGGAACATAGAAGTAAATTAAACATTGCTAAAACCGTTTTGGATAATCTTATATTACCTAAAATATCATATTTTAATAATAGAAATATAATACAATAACGAAAGAGCTAATGATTATTTCCGCGTATAATTAGAATAAGAAAAATATTCAGTTCCGCTGATATCTGCATCTCGATTATAGAGCAGCGCTTATTCCTTCAAAAGTTGGATTGCATTACGTTTGAACAACACGACCACCAACACTAGAAACTACAGATAAACGTTAATTTATTAATAGTAAGAATATATATATATAAATAGCTTTCTAATAACAAATCGAATAACTCTGCAATAAACATACTATTATACAAATTGGAAACTTCTTTACATGAAATCGTGGGTGGCTCTTAAAAGAGCCGTTGGGTTTGTGGTTTACAGGCTTTTATCCTCCGAATCCGTACAGAGTGCGTCCCTGTCGCTTCAGAGCATACACCACATCCATGGCGGTGACGGTCTTTCTTTTAGCGTGCTCCGTGTAGGTCACAGCATCTCGAATCACGTTCTCCAGAAACACCTTCAGCACGCCGCGCGTCTCCTCGTAGATCAGACCAGAGATGCGCTTGACGCCGCCGCGGCGCGCCAGACGACGAATAGCGGGTTTAGTGATGCCCTGGATGTTATCCCGGAGGACCTTTCGGTGGCGCTTAGCGCCTCCTTTCCCGAGACCTTTACCGCCTTTGCCTCTTCCAGACATACTGAGGATACTTCTTGTTTCAATCTAGCGACGGACACGAATAACAGACAAGAGCTCCAGGGAGGCCGTTTACATTTGCTTACAGGACCTAACTGAAACCAGCGCGCGTCACATGGCGCTCCCCTCCCCCGCTACTTAGAGCAGGAGACAATGAGGTTTAACCCAAACCTGATCTAACGA